CAAAAAGTTCAATGCATTGCCAGTTCAAAAAGAGCACGATAAACAAACTTGTGGACAATGCTTACAGATATAAGGAAAACAGAAATGTAATAAGAACAAGTGCTCATTCAGCATGTCACTTACATGTCACTCTATTTTGGTTACCTGGACAACACGAAAGGACATTTAAGCAGAGATCAAGGAAAAATTTCAGTTTGAAGTTGCAGTAGTCAGGTCGACAATCCATGATATTCCTATAAATTCTCCAAATTTCACCCTCTAGAGGAATGTTTTGGCTGTTACTGAGCCTGTCTCACAAACTATAGTCAGACTATCTATTGTGAAGTTATTTTCTCATTTTAATTAATGAAATATATATACTTAAAAGAGAAACTGATTACATCAAATATCATTTTAGGTAAACAGACAAAAAAATTGGTTACTGTGTGAAATGTTATGTGACTCAAATTACTATTGCATTTGTTCTTTTTTCCAAACAGTGACTGACATATTCCAAGGCCTTAGAATGCTGAGCTACTGGCTTTTTGCATATTTCACATGAAAACAATCATTTCAAACCATTTCTCTCAGTTTGTGGTCATCATGACCCTACTGGCTTATAAAATAGTCAAATAGATGAACAAATAATTCATTCAAGTGATTAATTTTTTTTGCTGTTGTTACTGTGGTTTGAACTCAGAACCTTGTGCTTGCCAGGCAAGTGCTTATTCTACTGAGCTATCTCACTGGGCCCTAAAATTTTAACTCACACCACAGAGTACTAAATTAGGATTTCCCCCCAATACTGAGAAGCATTCCCAAACTTTGATGATTATGTCTCTTTCTTTAGATTAAGATATAAATACGCCTATAATGTTATATTAGGCAAATAGAAAAAAGCGCTTCGAGTTAACAGTATGTTTTTAAATTTCTTCTGCTTGTGCCTCATTATATAGTGCTTTGCAGAAAAATAAGATATTTCTGATGGAGGTAGGGGCAAACAGTGGTATACCAAATGAATCCAGTAGTCTGTATTTCCATGACCTATGAGGAAATAGATGCACAATACATACTTGTTTTATACCTTCAAAAACTGTATGACAAGTTTGCACACAGTTAATTAGTGCAAGGAACATTTATGGTTGATTTCATATTCCATAGTTTAAAACAGAAGATGGGGATGGTTCTTCAAGAAGCAATTAATAAAATAACAATGGGGCTTTTGTCTTTTTGTGGTTGACATTATTTATAGGAGCAAGTAACTTTGCATATTCTACTGGAGTCTGTCAGGATAATTTAGGAGCTGCTGCAGCGAAGCTGCTTATTGCAGAACAAAGCCATTTTCCTTTTAGTTTGAAAAGTATTGGTGACTGCAATACTAAAGTTCGAGTCCTATTTTTCTACTAATTTTGAAATTTGCATATGTTTCTTCTATCCACATAGAAGAAACTATTGACTGGACAAGTGTTTCTGTGATTCTCTCTTACCTGTCAGCCTCAGGCAACAATTCCCTATGTGTCCATTTTTTTCCATTGTGTATGCATTTTTGCTTGTATATTTTATAAACTTAATGAATTTTTGCAAATAAAACCATTATTGTATATATAAAAACGTAAAGTAACAGCTCATAGAGTTCAAGTTAATATTTTTGTAATATGTTTTTGCATCTTACCTATTGTAAATGTCTTGTGGTCCATCTACACAAAAAAGTGTTACTTTTTCATTGTTTGAAAATTTTAATTTTAATATAGTCAATTTTACCAATCTGTATTCTTGTTTCTGCTTTTCTCTTCTCAGTGTGTTTTTTTTTTCTTTTCTTCTTTTTAATAATCACTTTTACAGATCTATTTTACAAATTCCTGGCTCTATAAGTTCTTCTTTTTTTCTCATAATACTACCTCTCTGGCATAGATCATTGTGTGGAATTGATTTTTTCTATGATGGTAATTGATTTTCTCAAGGTTAATTGTGGAATAACATTCATTTTCTTTTCTAAAATGGTTAGTTCACACAAATTTTTATCTGTTACATTTTTCTTGTTTTCTTTATTTCATTTTTTAAGTATTATATTTTATGCATTTGGTACAGCATCTCACTACACAAGTCAGAATAGTTTTTAGCCTCTCTGGCTCTGGGATTACAGGTGGGCACTGTCACTCCCGGTTTTGGTGGCCTGCTTAGCATGCCAAGGGTAAGGCAAGCATGGCCTCCATGCCAGGGACCAAGCCCAGGTCCCTGCATTTTCCAGTCAGGCACTTAGACAGCTGTGCTATCTCCCCAACCCCTTTTCTGTTACCTTTGCCCTCCAAATTGCAGAATTTTTAGAGTGGGGATTTACCCCTCCTTGAATAAAGATTGAGTGCAATTCTCGATGAAGTCATTTTTCTAGTCACTTTTTTTGTTTGTTTCATTTTGGGATGTTTGTATTTTTTTCCTCTTCTGAGTTTATATATTTGGAGCAATTAAGGCATTTTGATGTAGTATAACTTAAAGTTCTGGTATCTGTTTTTGCCATGTGTAATTTTTATTCAACATCACATTTCTTAATTTGTTTAGAGCTTTATTAGGTAGTGTTTTAAACAGTAGCAACGTAATCTTAAAACTCCATGCATACAAAATCAAAATTATTTTTTAACTAAATATTTTATATTAAATTTTACATCAGCAACTGTCTTGCGATTTCACGGATATAGAGTGCATTTAAAAGTTCAATAATTTTGTTAAACCTAAAAACATGAAATTAGTATACCAGATAGACTCTGAAATTTCATAACTGGAGGAAATGATGGTGTATAAAAATCAAAATTAAGGATTGTGGTTAAAAATATCATATTGAACTTCTGAGTAATAAAAGTAACTGTTACAAAATTTAAAAAATAATATTTGTTCTTTTAAATTCAAGCAAGCTAGCAAAAATCTTAGTGTTAATGGCTGCATTAGCAGAAAAATATGCATAAAAAAATGAATAGAATAAGTTAATACCTTTTTGCAAAAGGTCCCCTGATATTCAATTTGAAAATTTAATTCGTATTTTCTTAGTTAAGTCACATAAAATAAAAAGGTAGGAAAGTTCAAACAAAAATAGTGTTTTAAATATATATAGAGAGAACATGTTTAATTAAGCTTTCATTGTGATGTATTTTATTTATTTAAAAACAAATAGCAAATCAGTCAAAATACAAAATCTACATATTAAAAGAATATATATATTCTAATAAAGATATATATATATATATATATTCCCAATATTTAGGAATGTGAAGGAAATATATTGAAACTTTATTCACATAATTTCTTTCTGCAATCACTGGATATGGTTGGGAAAAAGTACATAGTAATGAATTAATAAAAATTAAGACTTTGTGAATCCTATCTCCACCAACATCATTATAACTTTGTGCATTATTCATTGAAAGTATAACAAAATATTAAACCTTTTGCAAACAAATGGATATTAGAGCTACCTAATTAGCTCATAGGATTATTTCTCTCTATTTTCCCTTTTCTTCTTTAGATTATCCATTATAGTGCCAGGTGACAATACCTCAGTGTGTATTAGAATATGTACATCTTGCAGAAAAATTTTAATTTTTAATAAAATATCTACCTAGCCATAAAATACTGATGATGATAGATTCAGTGTACAAAGCAGAAAAAAACGGTGTCGTAGATTGGATGGAACTTGCCAGGTTAACACCTAACTTAATGTTTAGTCAACAACTTACAATTACACATAGAATGAATTAGCAGTGTTTAACATAGAAAAACACTCTATTGCTCTTTCTGCATGATAATGTCAATCTATAGATGTCTATAAATATCACCGTGATAGCCATTTTCACCTGGAGAAGGGTGAGCAGGGATGGTCACTTAAAAACCCTGGATTTGGTCTAGTACCACTTGACTCTTAACCAGGTTCTAAGGCTAAATTGCCTTATAAAGGATATAAAAGGGTTTTTTTATATTTTGTAAATATATCAATTTATGGAATTGTGTTTATATAAGTTATTGATCATTAGTTTGATATTCCTGCTTTTAATGTTGTTGAACAAAACATGTGCTGCAACATTGGAGTAATGATCTGACTGAGACATCCCCGCTCTTCTTCAAAAGATACG